CCGTCACTTGGCATAGTCCTTCTTGCAAGATCTGCTCGAAGGTCCTGAGCTTGTCGTGCTTCTTGATGAGCTCTCAAAGCCACACGTTGTAGTTCCAAATTTGTACGATCTTGTGCTGCTGCATCAGCTGACAATTGCTCAGGGCTTGCGGTCTCAAGGTCAAAAAGATCTGGTGGACGTCTTCCAGTTGCTATCTCTATTGGTGAGTATCCACTGATAGTCAACTGACAATTTCTTGCCCAAACTACTTTCTTGACCACTTCTCTGACCGTAACACCACGAAAACGTGGGTCATCCAGATCTACTTTCATAACATGCCACATACGTTTGAACAAACGTACAGCTGTCTCTGCTCGGTTCGGCCAAGGAGTTCTTGGCCCACAAGGACATTGTTGTATACCATGGAACCTGTAGTATTCAACAAAAGCATCGGTGAAAAAGGCTTCGTCTCCTACGATGGCCTTTGGAACACAGTTGTTCTCATCAGACCATTGCCTCAATGCTTGGATGGTGGTTTGATCTATGAGGTCTTTCTGTGCCGTAGCCCAGAGAAGATTTGTGGCACCATCAAGAACAAGTAAGATGATATACTTGTTCTTGTGAAGTTCAACCTCACAATGATCAGTAAAAACAACATCACCAAAACATGAAGCTCTAATACCGGAGACTCTGGCTCGTGGCGGAGGTGCCACTGAAGTGTTACAAACACGGCAGTTCCTGACAACTGATTCATACTTCTCTAAAACAGAGTCAGGAAGCTTCAACATAGAAACACGTCTACGAAACTGAGTAGGACTCATATGGTAGTGCTTCACATGAAGCTTATAAAGCTCTACCTTGTCCTCCAGTCTCTGTAACATCTTCCTATATGCCGGTGTCATTGCAACAACTTCACTACCAGGTAATGGGATTGAAATCCGCCTAGGCTCAAGAGCGCCATCACCTGGTTCAAGTGGTTCATGTTTATCACTTGATGGTCCTTTTGATGCTTTAGGAATTTCTACAAGTTCACCTTCTGGCCTCTCAGGTGGTTCTGAGGGAGCATACTCCTCAAGATCATCACCCTTTAAATCATTCTGAGGCTCAGATGGTTTCGACTTGTGTCCCTTCCAAAATGGATCAAAACCCTTGGAAGTATACCGAAACTTTGGCGGCACGGGCTTTTCCGCGGCACTGGATGGTGCACCTTCCTTCTCTGATGAGAAGCCTGGTTCCCTGTCCTTTGCAATGGAAACCTTCTCTGAGGAGGAGCGCACCACTACATCGGGATCACCAATGCCACGGTGCTCAATGCCAGCCTTCCTGATCTTTAGATCTGGAATTTTGGCATCTGGCTTGAACTTAAAAATTGTTCTACCACGCCATTCATAGCCAATTTGTAGGTCCTTCCATTTTGCCTTGCGCCAATCATCTAGCTTCTTGATTTCTTCTCCACCTTCTTTCTTCTTGATGATTGTCAGTCGCAAGTCTTCCAGCAAGTCAGTGTCTACAGGACAGGACTTAGTTGCTGGGAAAAGAATCTTTCTATAATCCTTGTGGTGACGTATCAGTTCTCTCTTGTGAACATCTACTTCCCAGTAGTCAACCACAGGATATGCATGTTCAGCTACATCTTCATCACTATTGTGATCAACAGAAATATGACCATATTCATAGTGAGTGAAGTGAGAGTAAAAACTCTTCTCTCGCCGAGTCTGCAAATTCACGTCAGACAGATACCATGCAATATCTTGGAAGTCCAAGACAAGATGAGTACTGGCTGCAACCTTCAACTCCAAATATTTGATACCAAGAGGCACCGATGTCAGATAAGCATGTTGAGGTGTCAGCCTGAGTTCAAAGCCTAAGTTCCTCATCTGTGGCAAGCTCATAAGCAAAGGGGCTTCTCCTTCTTCCACTATGTCGAACTTTGTATGGTGGATCGTCCATGCACGATCATACATGTAAATCACCAGTTTCTGAGAGCAAGTGGCCTTCTGGGAATTGGCAAAGTAAAACTTGCTCTTGGTAGCCTCAAAAGAGTACCATAATCCACAATCTGGGTGATTGTCGACATAGTTGCAAAAATGGTCGACTGCTCGCCTTGATCCCATAGCTCTAGTGCATCCAATGTCCAGCATTGCAATAGTCGGCGGGAAGCGATTCTCAGTCAAAAATGAAATGGCCTGCATCTCCTTCACTTCTTCCTCAGCGCTCATAAGCGCAAAACCATCAGGAGCCTTTGTGAGCATCTCCTTTGACAAAGAGTACCTCACAGGGGCACTCATGCCATTGAAGATCGTCTCACCATTGTTGACCGCGCAGTCAGCTTCATCTTGACATGAGGTCATCATGCCTGACAGCAAGTTCACCTCACTGTCATGGACTTCAGCTGCTGCTGTCACACAATGTGCAAAGAAACCTTGTTGACCTCCTGATGCTTGTGAAGATCTTGAAGGTGCAGGCAAAGAACGTGGCTGTTGTTGATTTGCATAGTTTGCATCTTGTTTGCCATCTCCTTTATCTTTTCCTTTTCCTTTCTTGCCTTTTCTCTTGCCTTTTCCTTTTCCTTTGTGGGAAAACCATGCTTCTTCAAGCTGTTGCCAAAAGTCATTGGCATCTTCATATTCTCCTTGAAGATAGTCATTCATATCTTCGGCAAGAATGGCATCATATGCTACTTGGTTTGACTCCCAAGTGTCCTCATAAGGATTCTCTTCAAAGTACTCTTCTGGATATGTTGTCGGTTGCTCATCAGCATAATGGCCTTTACCTCGTCTCTTTCCTTTTCCTTTTCCTCGAGGTCTGAAAAATCTGCGGCCTGATCTTCCTTTTCCTTTTCCTTTTCTTCTTCCTTTTCCTTTGCCTTTTCTGGCTCTTCTTCCTTGGAATCTCCTTTGGAACCACGAGAAGTTTTGATCATCATATACCCAAAAGACATCGTCTAGGGCATCTAGGAATCCTTCTGTTCCATCTTCTTCATCTTCGGCCCAATAGCCAAATGTACCATCGAGTTCTCCTTCGTCTAGTACGAGAAATGATCTTCTACCTCCAGCACCTGTCGGCTGCATCAAAGGATTGTCTACTGAAGTCTTTGTTGTGCAGAACATCTCAATGAATACTGTCCTCAACTCTGTTGTGGTGTATTGCTGCAGGACCCTGCCACGATGAGTCATCAAAGAAGTCAAAGTGTTTCGCTGGTCCTGAGACAAATCTGCAAGTGACAGCATGAGTAAGGCAATCAGATTTTCTCCTAGAGGAAATTCGTTCTGATGAAAAGTCCTCATATTGCCATTGATGGTCTGCATGATTTCCTGAATCCTTTCTGCCGTTGGTGCTACTCCAGTCAACGCTGCATCTGCCTGCATCTGAGCTAGGACCTGTGGATGTGCTTGAGTGACTGGTTCTAACATGTCCATCCAACTGCTCATAAGCCTTTGGAGTAAAATCTGAAATCTTGTCATCCACTTCATCATGTCGGCTGATCCTCGATTGAGTCGCACGAATTGCATAAACCTGTATAGGAATACATTGGTTGATCCTTTCACAAAATATGGTCGTAGTACTCTCTTGAAGTAATCTACTCCAGCTCCTGGTGGCTCATTAGCCTTCAATGCATCTCTGTCTAAAACACGCTTGTATACAGCTGCTTCTCCTTCTAATCTGTTTCTCAATGCTGGTCCTCTCTTCTCATCTTCCAGCTCGGTGATATCACACCAATCGTCTATGGCATCCTCATAGGAAAACCATGAAGTCTTTCCATCATAAGATGGGGGCACCTTTGTAGTGACCTGTGTTGTCATTGCTATTGCTGCTGGTTCTCTTCTCACATGCCTATTCACGTAGGCTGCTGGCTCATAAGCCACATCCGCATCAGGCTCTTCCCAGTCGTCAATCCAATCCATGGCCGTTTGCCCACAAGCAATTCTATGCCTAGGAAAGGAGCTCACCTGGGTCTTCCAGGATCACTGCTCCGCTACCACTGAAAGAGTGACTAGGGCGTACACGGT